CAAAAAATAAATTACAAGATGAAAAGACTTTATTTTTATCATTTTGTCTTTATGATTTTTTTCTCGGTTTTTTAAAATAAATAGAAAGACAATATATTATTTAATCAATTTTATCGCATGTGTTAGTAATAAAACGGATTTACGAGAGCAACTCTTATACATTGTCAAACATTACACATGTACGTTTTTTACTTAATTAAAAAACGGGTTTCCACGCCCATAACATAATACCCACTAATAAAAAGCGTCATGAACGGTAGTATGATATTCAAGTGTTTATTCTTGGAAAGAAAGTGATAGGGTAGATCGATTATTCAAAATAAAAAAAAGATGCATGAAGACAGTCACAGTGACTGTTAATGGTGACACGTGCATTATCATTGTTCGTAATACGGCAACATATTAGTTTTAATGTTGAATTATAGATTTCATCTGTAAATTTAGGAAAATTTTAAAAATGTCGAATTGATTGAACTCTAAATATACATGCATGTAATACCAATAAGAATGACTAGTAAACCTGTTGCTGGTATGACAGCAATCAGATACGCTGTGGACCAAATGTTTGAAATGCCAAATACAAAACAAAATTGCCGAATAAAACTTAAAAAAAAAACACCATAAGGAACGAAAATATAAATAACAAAAAATGCACCAGAACGGAACAGTTTTTAGAGTGTGGAACTACATAGTTAGACAATATACAATTAAAATGTATCGTTCATTTATTATAGTCCAATTTTCAGTCACATGCGGTTCAAATGGTCCGCCTTCATCTCGGTCGACCCGCTTTGTAGAACATACCTGTTTTGTTAATTGTTAATATGTTCTCGTCCTGAATATGAATGGTCTATTTTCATTAGTTATTTATAAGCAAATATGAGCTAAATTAGTTTAGTTTTGTTGCCAACCAACTTACGTGTACGTTAATCTATAGAGTTTTCTTTTACAAAACATGTCACCCGCGAGATATTCATACGTTTGTGTCAAGCAAGAGCCATCTTAATCAGCTCAGATCAGGTCAGACGAAATATAATTAATAATGTAATAACTTGCAAGTGGTATACGAAATGTCTTGTGCCCATGTAAATAATTTTATCGCTATTTTACGAAATTTTTCTTTGATCTTACTGACTGATAATTTCCTTTCTCAGCACAGTAGAGTGATATAAAAAATTATCGCTAGAAAGTAAGGGCGCACGTGCCGTTGTCAATGAAATTAACAACGTCGTCATAGGTAAAATAGCGATAAACAGATTATCATTGGTCATCTCAACTCGATTGCTTTTCTCACTTTCGCCGTACCGGCTCAAGCGAGAAAATCATTCTCTTTGAGATGACCAACGATAATCTATAAATATTGGACGAGACCCAAATAAAATCTAAGTAATATTTTGATGGCATACGTATACCTTATTTCCAAATACGAATTATTACACAAATAGTTTTTGTCATGCAGGCGTAGATTCAGACGTGGGCGCATTCGGCGCATGCCAAATAATAACAAAGAAAAAAAAACGTAGTTTACAAAACTTTACAATTACAACCTCTCACTCGCATGCCCCTTAGCTCAAATCCGGAATCAGCGCCTGTCATGGGTAACATAATAGTTTCCATTAGTGGAGGATTATTATTCTAAGTCTATTCTTTTTCATTGTAACTTTATTATGAAGATTTTTATATTCATCTTGACGAGTGCGTCAATACAACAATTTGTTTTTCTGTCAGATGAAAACATCACGAAGCCTGCTTACATAAGAAAAAAGAAAGGAAAAATACCATGTACAAAATTCATTGTTTCCAAGACAATACGCACGGTATACAGTTTTCATCACTCACCTATGCAATCTATTATATACAACAGATTTGGTATTTTTCTGAGTCATCCATATGCCGTATTAGTCTTTTTGTTTCATTTTTAGTTTAGTTGTCCAATTATACTAATGTGTGATCTTTGCGTTTTCGCGGTATTAATCAATACAAGATTTATGTATTAATACTATTATGTTATACTAGTAATGTCATTTTTTTTCGGACTTCTTTAACAAAGAAGGTAAGATACATAGCAGTACATTTAAAATTTACTTATCACAATTTATCTATTGCGACAAATACTAATGACAACTATTTAATTATAATAGTAATGATGACGAAAAAATACAAAGTAAAAAAAAAAATTGGTAAAATACCTTTTAGCTTCTATTAGTATGATTAACTTAAAGTAGAGATTCTGTACATTGCAATACATTTCAAAATTATCAATGAACGAAAAACAAATATGAAATAAAAGATAATTTCGTTTGATCCTGTATATCATATTTGTATTTCGTTCATTGTTTTGTACATAAATCAGGCCGTTAGTTTTCTTGTTTGGATTGTTTTACATTTGTCATTTCGGTGTCTTTTATAGCTGACTATGCGGTATGAGTTTTGCTATTGTTGAAGGCCGTGTGGTGACATATAGTTGTTAACTTCCATGTCATTTGCTCTCTAGTGGAGAGTTGTCTCATTGGCAATCATACAACATCTTTCTATTTTTATACATATAACATGCATGGGGAATGTGAGATAACGCAACTTTTTTCATTGGTGTTAATACAAAAATGATAACAATGATGAAAAATTCGACAAATGGAAAATGCAAAGCCAGACATCTTTAGCTTTCAAGAGTACCTGATATCACAATGGATTTGACAGGAGCTCGGTTTGCATTTAAATTTCAGTTCTGTGTTGTTTGTTAAAGAAAACTTGACAGACTCCGAAGATAATTAAAGGAACTTGTGCTTTTATTGCTGTTCTTCTCATAGTCGTTTGGATCTTGTGAAACTTTGTAAGCAAAGATGTGAAAATTTAATGTGTAACCAGTTAAACTGAAGTAAAATAAAGTCAAGTAAATTAAATAATGAATAACTTGAAAAAATACTTTGAACAATAGTCTTTGATTACATAAATTTGTCGAATTTCTTTTTTACCCAGTTATCAAAAATCGTTTTAGAAACAATTACTGGTTTTCAAATTTAAATGTTGAAGCTGCTTAACAAGATTTAATTTGGAAAGCCTATCTTAGTCAAGATAAATTTAACCACGCATACACCCATTTACAAATGAACAAATCTGAAACCTTCAATGATGAAATACACACCCCTTTTTGTTATAAATTTCAAAGCTTGTTGAATAAGATTTATTGCAAGGAAATCTTTCTCTTTATATTCTTCATGAAAATCATTGGAAATTTGCCTGGAAAGAAGGTGCCTTTTCCTCGCGATTACCATTACTGGGCTAGCTTGCTTTATAGCACAAAAATGTCCACTTAGATTGTTTGATTTGTTTTTGCATTGCTTAACGTACAGTGGCATACATTTCATGATACTCTAGACCAAATTAGATAAACAATACATCCAAAATATAGGTTCTGCAAAGTTGGTCGACTGGGATGAAGGGCGAAAATTTGGGATGTCACAGGAAAAAGAGGACATGTTGGTAAAGGGCAGACATTTGGCAACAGACCGCCTACGGACCCACAAAGAAGTCTTTGTAGAGATCGTTGCACTCTGTCTACACGATGCATCAGAATTACATACATGTATAATTATACCATATCACAAAAATTTCAAAATCATCTTTATATTTCTATATATATCTTCTATATAAGGAATAAGTCTTTTCAAAAGTATGTATATGCACCACACGATTACCCGATATCAGAAAAAAACTTTTCATTGAAAATTTTTATCATAAAGTTACAAAAATGAGTCGATCAATGAAATAAAAAAAAAATGAATTTACAAATTGTATTTAAACAAAATATTGAATTATCCCCCTTTGTGCGAGTTTTACTTATGGTAATTTTTTTCTCCGTGAACCTGACCGAAGTTTAGATATGACATTTTAATTATAGTAGCTTCATAACAATGATATTATTGATTATCTAATTATCTCAAGTTTAATTATCAATTTAGTGGTTATCCTATTCTACAAAGTATCAATTTACTATAATTTAAGTTTAATCAATATTTACAAGTTAACTGTTGATAAATTCATGTTTAAAATGCATGTTAATTTATAGCCAAAATATGCTATGCTGTGTTATTAAAAAGAAAAAAAGTATTTTATATGATTTTAAATAGTAGTGTGTTTTGAAGAATTATTTTTATAGTCTATCATAACTTTTTTTAGAGTGGCTCTTATCGTTTAAAATGATACTGTGATTTTATCGATATGTGTATAAATATATATGTCAATATTGGGGCGATACTTTAATCAAGTACCCCGGTATTTGTCTTGTCTTATCTTGTTTTGAAATAATGCAATTTTACTATACCTCGCGCGCGTGGTATCTTATGTTTATTTACAAACAACTATTTACAAGTAACAATTTATTTCCTTTTTACCCCAGTCTGTTTTTTGTACATTTTGATTAAGACTACATATAGTATAGGTCTTATTTAGATGTGGAAATGTTTGTTAAGAACAGATATTGGGATTTGATCTCGGAAACGGTCAATAGTTTGGGTAGTGATTTATATAAATAAGATGTTTCAGTTTCTTATTCCAAAGTGTACTACCAATGTGACAACATGTCACCAGGTAAAACAAAAGCCCAGTGAGTACATGTATATACATTTACAGAATAATTTTTAATTATGCCGATATTTTAGTCCTGTAAGAATATACGCAAGGCAACATTTTCACATAAGAATTCTAAATTTGTAAATCTTAAAACTGAAGACAAACGATATTTGTCATATCAAAATACTATTTTTTCCAATTGTGCTGCAGCGTGTTAATTCTTTCCTGAATGAATTGACATCTTGTGTTCACAATTCCGTTTTAATCTTTTTCAGATGGATGCTATTACATGTAAATTGTCTTTCGAGTGAATATACATCTTGTGTACAAAATTCTGTTTTAATCTTTTCCAGATGGATGCTGTTACATGTAAATTGTCTTTTGAGTGAATATACATCTTGAGTACACAATTCTGTTTTAATCTTTTCCAGATGGATGCTGTTACATGTAAATTGTTTGCGTCTTTGTGTTTATGGACATATATATTTATTGAATGTAGTAACGGTGTACCATTTCATGGCTTCCTAACATCAGCTGACAAATTCTCGCGAGATATCGGAGAGGAAGAGATTGATGAAAATGAGCAACGTATTAGAGAAGAAGGTACAGTCATAAAATAATGAAAAAGATATTATTTTGTATTTAGGATATTATTTGTATTTAGTAGCTGTCTTATTGGCAAATGCACTACTTTTTCTTTATTCATATAAAACATGTCTTAACCTAATGTTAATTTGTGCAAGATTTTGTACGAATTTCCTCGAAGTCGATTGACCTTTTTAAAAACTTTTCTTGTAATACTATTCCTTATATGTCCTGTCTTCATGAATATTTGGAAACAATGGGTGAAAAGCATACTATATGATACGTTGGAGGTGTATTGATTACTGATACTTTAGTCTGGGAGAACATGATTTATTTATTAGTTGTAATTGGCTTTGAAATAGCTTTAAGTAACTGCGAGTACTCTTATTTCGGTGCTTTGTGTCTACTGGTTTTATGTTAGTTGTTTTATTTTTGCCTCGTACCGATCTTCAGAGTTAAGCTTGCCTCGTACCGATCTTCTGAGTTAAGCTTGCCTCGTACCGATCTTCTGAGTTAAGCTTGCCTCGTACCGATCTTCTGAGTTAAGCCAATTGCTACTGATTTTTACAGTTTGTTCTTATGTTGTGCTGTTACACCATTGTCCCAGGTAAGGGGAGGGTTGAGCGCTCACACACATGTTTAACCCCGACACATTCTCAAGTTATGTGCATGTTCCAAGTAAGGCGCCTGTAGTTCAGTGCATGGTTGTTGTTGGTTCATGTCTGTCATATTTGTTTTTTGTAAATTATTTTGTTATAAATTAGGCCGTTAGTTTTTTCGTTTGAATTGTTTCATATTTTTGATGTCGGTGTCTTTTACAGCCGACATGGGTTTTTCTCATTGTTGAAGGCCGTACATTTGCCTATAATTGCTTACATTCACTTCATTTGAAATCTGATGGATAGTTGTCTCATTGGCAATCATACCACATCTCCTTATTTGTATATGATACGTTGCGATAAGTTAAGTTTTACGACGTTCTAAAATAATTTAATTCAACCATTGACGTTGGATCATTTTACCTAATCAAAAACGGAAAGACAATTGGCCATAACATATCGATTTTTAAGAAGAATAACAGTTAAATGCATTATTTTTTTCTATTTCTATTTAGAGGTCAACATGTAAAAGTAGAATGCAAAATTTTAACAAAATCTGCTACATAGCGAATTTACTGTTCCTTGACTCTATCAAGCAAAGTCGACCTAAATTTAGATTGACTTGGGTAATCTTCTAGGTCATATGGCTCCTCAATCGACCTAAAGTTAGATTGACTTGGGTAATCTTCTAGGTCATATGGCTTCTCAATCGACCTAAAGTTAGATTGACTTGGGTAATCTTCTAGGTCATATGGCTCCTCAATCGACCTAATGTTAGATTGACTTGGGTAAACTTCTAGGTCATTTGGCTCCTCAATCGACCTAAAGTTAGATTGACTTGGGTAATCTTCTAGGTCATATGGCTCCTCAATCGACCTAATGTTAGATTGACTTGGGTAAAATTCTAGGTCATATGGCTCGTCAATCGACCTAAAGTTAGATTGACTTGGGTAATCTTCTAGGTCATATGGCTCCTCAATCGACCTAATGTTAGATTGACTTGGGTAAACTTCTAGGTTATATGGCTCCTCAATCGACCTAAAGTTATATTGAGTTGGGTAATCTTCTAGGTCATATGCCTCTTTACGATTTCGAGTACTTCCTTTGCTTTCCTATTTTTGGTTTTGAAAGTTCCTAATGAAGGTAAATCAAGAAAAGCACTTCGAACGCAACTAATTTATAAAGTGCTATTTTCATTTAAGAGCAAACGTATACGTAACATATAACTCAAATCTCATTTTATTCATAGGGAAAACATTTTTTTGTAAAAAAAACTAGCACTTATGTTACAATAGATAGCAATGGATATCTTCAGATCCTAAACCATTTAAGTTATTCTCGAGGAGTTGTTAGGTTTTATATTTTTAATAAAGTCACACAGCTAAGAGTAAAACGTAATGTGTATAAAACATATATTGTGTTTTTGCGATATTATATAAACTAGTCAATTTAAAAGTGTAATTACATGTACCGTTACAAGTGCGTGTGACACGTGTTTCTGGAATAACCTTTCAACTGCATTCGGCGTCATGTAAGATAGCGGAATCTGTCGAGGTTTGCCGATTGCTTTTATCTGTTAAGATGGAGACTAAAAGAACATACAACATTTGAAATATATTACCGTCTGAAAGCTACAAGAAAAATTTCAGCTATTGAAGTAGAAACAATGAAATGATGAAATATTATTGGCCTCGATTTCGAAAAATTAAACCAGTTCTAAATATGTTCAATTTGTGTACATTTATTTAAGGAAGTTATAATATTTTCTACACTGCATGTACATTAATTTCTCAAAAATTGGAAAAAAAGCTCACAATGGTGCATCATTATATCAACTTATTTCAAAAGAAGGCGTTTAATTATGATCAAGAGTTTAACCATTTCTATATAATAATGTGTATGTTTGAAATAACGTAAAATCAAATGTTTTATGTAAATCAATCAACTCAGTCATTTCATTATTTCAGATTTAAGAAAATTGATACTAAAGAAACTTAGATTTCGTGATATAGAAGATGTTTCATATCCACGTGAATATGACGAACTGTCAAAACTATATGACCTTTCACCCTTAGATACATCAGGTAAGGCAACATATTTACTTGTCAATAACATTTTTTTTTATAATAAATACACTGTAAAAATCGTGTTTAGATCCTAAACACAGTTCTAAACACATTTTATTGCGAACTTATTTACACCTTTTGATCTACGCATGTCGCAGTTCTAAACATGTTTAGGTTAACAGTGTGTTTAGGATTGTGTTTAGGATCATGTTAAGATTAGAACGTAGTGTGTTTGGTCTTATTTAAAAGTGTTTTATATTCATGCCTTAAGACTTGTGTACATTTAATGTGCTTACTTAGAAATGTCTTTAAATATTTAACATAATCCCAAACATGCTTAGAACTAAACATGTCATACAAGTATCTATTAACTGGCACGATTTTTACAGTGTATGAAAACTACAAGCCTTGCAATACTTATTCCTAGTGACTATTTGGCAAAGAATAAATTCAACACACTCCTAATATTTTTGGTGAATAAAATGACGAAATATATTAAACATATAACACAACAACAGCAGCAACAACGGCATTCACAACAAAACTAATATAGAGATAGTAAAAGAGAAATGTGAGTTTGTACACAATGAAGACGAAAAAAGTAAAATAACAAATATACCGAACTCCAAGGAAAATTCAAAACGGAAAGTCCCTTAACAAATGGCAAAATTAAAAGCTCAAATACATCAAACGAATGGGCAACAACTGTCATACTCCTGACTTGATACAGGCATTTCCTTATGTAGAAAATTGTGGATTAAACCTAGTTTTATAGCTAGCTAAACCTCTCACTTGTATAACAGTCGCATAAAATTCGAAAAAAACCAAAATAATCTTTAATTATTTACATCACAAATAGAAATGTGGGAAAACGTAAAAAATTGAATGACCAGGGACCCTCGAAAAATGATACAAAAAAAAATGATATTTTAATGTAGCCTTAGACATTGATCAAGTTCCAGGCTTTACATTTTTCAAGTTTTTAATTAATTTTAAGTACAGAAGTATACATCGCATGTGTAGGAATTTATAGTCGTGACGTCATGAAACGGGATTTACATATTAATGTACACTTTTGGTTACCGTGACGCTTCCAAATAAAATAACAATATTGAAATTATATGATAAAAATACACTTCAATAAATTAACCATCTAACAATATCACTGTTTTATTATTCCAGAAAAAGAACAGAAGAGAAGTTCAAATATCAATAGTGCATTTGCTGACAAAGTGGCTGCTCTGCTTAATGGACTGAAAACTAGACAAATAGATAGCCCAAAAGTTAGAATGTCAAGTCTTCGGTTCGGACGATGATTTTAAATAAACTTTAACCTAATGACATTCATTGAAACTCAAGTTTAACTTAGTATTTTTAATCAAATTGTACAAGAAATATTGGTTTGCATTTTAATGTTGCAAATAAATGACACAGTATTAAGTTATAGTTCAATATGAAGCTAATGCTTTAGTTACCTAACACGTGCATCATCAAATATCAATGATTAAAACAGTGCGTGATAAAACAAGTATTTGTCAAAGAAAAGTAACTAGTAGTTTATACCAGAGTGACAATCACTAAATTACCAAAAGGACAGACAAAACATCAGGCAAAACAGACAAAAATATAACGGTCAACAATTCTGGTAACAGCTCCGCTGGATTGAAATTGAGGGAGTCCTAATTTCAGATAGATAACATAGGAAACAGAAATTACCAAAATCAACAAATTTGCTAAAAGGCTCGACTTGGTATAGACACATAAAGTAGGGGAGGGGGTGTAAACTTTTACCTGGGTAACCAGTTAATCAATACGTCATGAAAATGGCACGCACTTAGTACAACTATTTTACTCTCAGGAGGCAAATAATATAAACAAAGAAATAAGAGACAGCTTCTAATCCAAAACTACTTAAAAAATGACAACCCCTTCCAGCGGTTTGAAGGCTTAACAAATCATATGGAAAAAATAGGATTAAGGGGAAGCTGTGATAGGGGGAAGAAACGTAAGTTGAAGATGGATAGATAAAATCATGCGTGTTCAAAAGAAAGAGAACAAAAGAACAAACAATAACTTACGAAACATTAAACATTCATTTCGCCATAGAGTTTTGTGTATATTGACAGTATAAGTCAGTAGCCAGTAAATATACAATATATGTACATTGTCGGAAAATATAAAATTTATTTGTATGAGCTTTAGAAACAGGACGAAAAGCGAGGCTCGCCGAGCTTTTCTCCTGTTTCGCAGTGAGTACAAATAAATTTTATATTTTCCGACAATGTATATATATTGTTTTTATCCTGAAATTTACACCCAACACTTGAAACTTTAGTTGTTAAAATCTAAATCATTGTCTCTAATTTTTCAAAGAAATCGACATAGTTTAAACGCGGACCGCGAAACGGACCCCAAAATGAACTGGTACGCAAAAAGAAATATCCACATTCCCGCTTGCTCAACATGAAAGAGGGGTAACAGGAGACTTTATTTGTACAAGTTCAAATAAAGCAAACATTTATTTGTGACCCTGTTATTTGTACAATAGTTGGCTGATTTCAGAATAAGTCTATATATTTGTAACCAGACAGCATGATTCTCAATACAAAATAACTTTGTCTCCTCCAGGACCCGAACCCGGGACCTCTGTAAGACAAGTCAGCGCTCTGACGACTGAGCTACAGTAGTACTTTGCTAGCTCAACCGCTTACGGCTGACTAAGTATCTACTATTCAAGGGAAGTGATCCCGTCATATATTTATGTCTTACCATCAACAGAAAAAATTCATGAATGAAATATAAAATATCTTAACATATTTATATAGCCTTTGTCGCTTTACGCGGGTAACAGAAGTTTCAAGAGGGTAGACAGAACCTTAATGGTAATGTTTCAATTATTTGTATTTTAAAGTAGAAAATTACTATTTAAATACGCATGTTAGTTTTTGGAACGGAATACCCTTACATAAGGTGTATTGCTAATTTGATTTAAGCAGTTTTTACCAATAGTATGGGTCTATGTCTTTATTGTCGTTGGGATGCTGTTTCATTGAAATATATCCCAAATATTATTTTATCTATTTTATTTCATTATAAAACATCGCCTTATATGCATTTCTCCCAAGATCAATTACATTAATGATCGAATTAGAGTGATATCACACGTGACATTTAGGTTGCAGGTGCTCCAATTATCCACTCGGTTATCAATTGGTTTATCTTAGGTGACAAATTATCTACGTTCGGACATTATACTTATGTAGTAACAAATATGGTGTTCTTTACGCATGTTTGGATAATATTATTATTTAGTTTAGCCTTTGTTTATGGGGATCCTGTAAGAACCCAGACAGGTGGACGTGTGAAAACTATCGGAAGGGAGACTGGTGGACGTGTGGAAACTATCGGAAGGGACATTTTCAACTCCTTTGGTGAGTTATATTTGACAATACAAAAATATTGAACTAATGACCTTTCAAATATAAACCTCTTTAACCTATTAATTGCCATTTGACCTATTGTCAAAAACACACACAAATGTTTACATTGATCAGATACTCAAAATCTTAATGTCATCATATGAAGCATATATAGACCCCTTTTTCAATTGCTCGTACCACGGTGAAATACTACACGGCGATTAACTGTGAACCATTGTAACCCTTTTTTTCTTGTCGTAGAGCATTACGTACATCATATAACAAATGGAATCGCAAGGAAGTACAGAGAGGTTTTACTTTCACCAAAAGAATAGTTTGCATTTCGTTTTTTTCTTTCTCGTCCAATGTCATTATGACAGCATACATATTGGGTTTCTAACAAACATGTTTCAACGGAAAGATAAATTAATACAAGCAGTTCTTATGAAATCCATTTAAATTCAGTTGGGACATCAAACAAGTGTCTATGGTAATCTGGTAATGATCCTCGAGTAAACTCTCCGCCAAAATTAATGAATATAGAAGTGTCTAAATTAATTTTAAAATATAATAGATTAAGTGTAGATTTGTGGAAATCTTGTTTTTTTAAAGAAAGAACAACATCTTTATGTACATAGGAAGGTCAAGCTAGAGATTAAACATCATACTAATCCTTGGATAAATCTGCAATGAGCGATACCAAATTTCTGATTTCTTTTTGTTATCTGAATCAGTGTGGTATATGCGTATATGTCAAGGTGATTAGACGGAAGCTTTATTTATATTCGGTATAGTTACAAACTACAAAACATAAGTTCCAAAAACTATATCTAATCGTTCTTTCTAAAAATAGCAACGATAAATGAAATATTTGACACGACTTTTGAATTGATAATTTTTTTATAAATGATTTCGAAAATACAGGATGGGAATGCAAGTTACTAGTATATCGAAAAAAAAAAAAATAAAATACAAGATGCGAATGCAAATTACTAGTATACCGAAAAAGATAACCCCCCCCCCCCCAAAAAAAAAAAGAAAAGAAAGAAAAACAAAACGCGTCACTGCAGAAAGAAAAGGAAGTCAAGCAACATATAGTCCACAGCGATAAAAGAAAAGATTTAGCAAAAAAACAATTTTTCAGTCTTCTTCTTGAGAAGCCCTTTCATAGCGAATGTATGAACGTTTTACAAAAGTTTGGATTTTGTAAGAGTCCATATCCAATTCACATCACACATAGAGGTGGTTTTTACAGTAATTCTGAAGCTCAGTTTTGTGACACATTGAAAAGATGTTAATAATTTGTAAGGACTCTTGTGTAACATGGGTACCCAGTACTATGTAGACCTGTCAATATAGCAATGTTTGTACGGACTCTTGTGTAACATGGGTATCCAGTACTATGTAGACCTGTCAATATAATAATGTTTGTAAGGTCTCTTGTGTAACATGGTTACCCAGTACTATGTAGACCTATCAATATAACAATGTTTGTAAGAACTCTTGTGTAACATGGGTATCCAGTACTATGTAGACCTATCAATATAACAATGTTTGTACGGACTCTTGTGTAACATGGGTACCCAGTACTATGTAGACCTGTCAATATAACAATGTTTGTACGGACTCTTGTGTAACGTGGGTACCCAGTACTATATAGACCTGTTAATATAACAATGTTTGTAAGGACTCTTGTGTAATATGGGTACCCAGTACTATGTAGACCTATCAATATAACAGTGTTTGTACGGACTCTTGTGTAACGTGGGTACCCAGTACTATGTATACCTGTCAATATAACAATGTTAGTACGGACTCTTGTGTAACGTGGGTACCCAGTACTATGTAGACCTGTCAATATAACAATGTTAGTACGGACTCGTGTGTAACGTCGGTACCCAGTACTATGTAGACCTGTCAATATAGCAATGCTTGTACGGACTCTTGTGTAACATACGTACCCAGTACTATGTAGACCTATCAATATAACAATGTTTGTAAGGAAGGACTCTTGTGTAACATGGGTACCCAGTACTATGTAGACCTGTCAATATAGCAATGCTTGTACGGACTCTTGTGTAACAAAGGTACCCAGTACTATGTAGACCTGTCAATATAACAATGTTTGTAAGGGAGGAATCTTGTGTAACATGGGTACCCAGTACTATTTAGACCTGTCAATATATCAATGTTTGTACGGACTCTTGTGTAATGTGGGTACCCAGTACTATGTAGACCTGTCAATATAACAATGTTTGTAAGGACTCTTGTGTAACATGGGTACCCAGTACTATGTAGACCTGTCTATATAAAAATGTTTGTAAGGACTCTTGTGTAACATGGGTACCCAGTACTATGTAGACCTATCAATATAACAATGTTTGTGAGGACTCTTGTGTAACATGGGTACCCAGTACTATGTAGACCTGTCAATGTAACAATGTTTGTGAGGACTCTTGTGTAACATGGGTACCCAGTACTATGTAGACCTGTCAATATAACAATGTTTGTAAGGACTCTTGTGTAACATGGGTACCCAGTACTATGTAGACCTGTCAATATAACAATGTTTGTATGGACTCTTGTGTAACATGGGTACCCAGTACTATGTAGACCTATCAATATAACAATGTTTGTAAGGACTCTTGTGTAACATGGGTACCCAGTGCTATGTAGACCTGTCAATATAACAATGTTTGTACGGACTCTAACTTGTGTAACATGGGTACCCAGTACTATGTAGACCTGTCAATATAACAATGTTTGTACGGACTCTTGTGTAACATGGGTACCCAGTACTATGTAGACCTGTCAATATAAAAATGTTTGTAAGGACTCTTGTGTAACATGGGTACCCAGTACTATGTAGACCTGTCAATATAACAATGTTTGTAAGGACTCTTGTGTAACATGGGTACCCAGTACTATGTAAACCTGTCTATATAAAAATGTTTGTAAGGACTCTTGTGTAACATGGGTACCCAGTACTATGTAGACCTATCAATATAACAATGTTTGTGAGGACTCTTGTGTAACATGGGTACCAAGTACTATGTAGACCTGTCAATGTAACAATGTTTGTGAGGACTCTTGTGTAACATGGGTACCCAGTACTATGTAGACCTGTCAATATAACAATGTTTGTAAGGACTCTTGTGTAACATGGGTACCCAGTACTATGTAGACCTGTCAATATAACAATGTTTGTATGGACTCTTGTGTAACATGGGTACCCAGTACTATGTAGACCTATCAATATAACAATGTTTGTAAGGACTCTTGTGTAACATGGGTACCCAGTGCTATGTAGACCTGTCAATATAACAATGTTTGTACGGACTCTAACTTGTGTAACATGGGTACCAAGTACTATGTAGACCTGTCTATATAACAATGTTTGTACGGACTCTTGTGTAACATGGGTACCCAGTACTATGTAGACCTGTCAATATAACAATGTTTGTAAGTACTCTAGTGTAACATGGGTACCCAGTACTATGTAGACCTGTCAATATAACAATGTTTGTACGGACTCTTGTGTAACATGGGTACCCAGTACTATGTAGACCTGTCAATATAACAATGTTTGTAAGGACTCTTGTGTAACATGGGTACCCAGTTCTATGTAGACCTGTCAATATAACAATGTGTGTAAGGGCTCTTGTGTAACATGGGTACCCAGTACTATGTAGACCTGTCAATATAACAATGTTAGTAAGGACTCTTGAGTAATATGGGTACCCAGTACTATGTAGACCTGTCAATATAACAATGTTTGTAAGGACTCTTGTGTAACGTGGGTACCCAGTACTATGTAGACCTGTCAATATAACAATGTTTATATGGACTCTTGTGTAACATGGGTACCCAGTACTATGTAGACCTGTCAATATAACAATGTTTGTGAGGACTCTTGTGTAACATGGGTACCCAGTACTATGTAGACCTGTCAATATAACACTGTTTGTGAGGACTCTTGTGTAACATGGGTAACCAGTACTATGTAGACCTGTCAATATAACAATGTTTGTAAGGACTCTTGTGTAACATGGGTACCCAGTACTATATAGACCTGTCAATATAACAATGTTTGTAGGGACTCTTGTGTAACGTGGGTACCCAGTACTATGTAGACCTCTCAATATAACAATGTTTGTACGGACTCTTGTGTAACGTGGGTACCCAGTACTATGTAGACCTGTCAATATAACAATGTTAGTAAGGACTCTTGTGTAACATGGGTACCCAGTACTATGTAGACCTGTCAATATAACAATGTTTGTGAGAACTCTTGTGTAACATTGGTAACCAGTACTATGTAGACCTGTCAATATAACAATGTTTGTGAGGACTCTTGTGTAACATGGGTAACCAGTACTATGTAGACCTGTCAATATAACAATGTTTGTAAGGAAGGACTCTTGTGTAACATGGGTACCCAGTACTATTTAGACCTGTCAATATATCAATGTTTGTACGGACTCTTGTGTAACGTGGGTACCCAGTACTATGTAGACCTGTCAATATAACAATGTTTGTAAGGACTCTTGTGTAACATGGGTACCCAGTACTATGTAGACCTGTCTATATAAAAATGTTTGTAAGGACTCTTGTGTAACATGGGTACCCAGTACTATGTAGACCTATCAATATAACAATGTTTGTGAGGACTCTTGTGTAACATCGGTACCAAGTACTATGTAGACCTGTCAATATAACAATGTTTGTACGGACTCTTGTGTAACATGGGTACCCAGTACTATGTAGACCTGTCAATATAAAAATGTTTGTAAGGACTCTTGTGTAACATGGGTACCCAGTACTATGTAGACCTATCAATATAACAATGTTTGTACGGACTCTTGTGTAACATGGGTACCCAGTACTATGTAGACCTGTCAATATAACAATGTTTGTACGGACTCTTGTGTAACATGGGTACCCAGTACTATGTAGACCTGTCAATATAACAATGTTTGTATGGACTCTTGTGTAACATGGGTACCCAGTAC